CGCTCTTTAACAATTATATTTTTACTTATATTTAAATACTCTTTAAATAATGAGAAATGGGTTTAGGCAAAAATGTGTTTACTTTTATTCTAAATACTGCCCTTATACTTCTCAAGAAAGGATCTTATCTCAAAAGTAGCGAATTGCAAATATCTTGATAAGAGCTTCCTCTGAAAAAATTTTCTCGAAAAATCATGGATTGCCTGCTTCTGCTGCTATAAAAGCTGCCCAATGGGTAGCGCTGCACCGGCACTATTCATTACGAAAATTGCCAAAATTCAAGGATAAGTCCTAACTATTTCAAACTTGCCCTTTGTTATACTGAAATTTAATTCAAACAACTTCTAAAAATCGGGTTAAAAAGTTTGAAATTTCGATTTGCATTTTTTTTTGAAAACTAATGGCGTTTTCGTTTCTTCGTAAAAATGTTACCTTCTCTTTGCCGTCTACGCGCAAATACCAAGAAGGGGCCAATGAAAAGGCAACATTTTTTGCAGAAACGAAAACGCCATAAGCTATATTTAGATAAAAAAAAAATAAACATTTTAAACAAAGAAAATTAGCCAAAACTTGCTAAAATGTCTCTTCCCTATTTACGTTATCGCAGTTAGCATTAGATCTCGAAACGGAGTAAAGATGGTACCTTAAAAATTTAATGCAACTACTTTTTCTCAAAATGTTTCTAAAATGGCTGAAATGTCTTCAGACATCATTTTGCATCATTTTGAAATTTCAAAAATTTTTTTACCACGTTTGAAAATTTTTATTTGTGAATATTTATCGCTAGCTTAGGGACTGTTTTCAGCTCTCAAAAAAAAAAAACGAAAAATAATGACGCACAAGAATTGGAAAAGAAACTTCCTTCTATCAAAATTGTTTAAATCAGTTTGCAGCTCTCAAGAAAAAAATACTAGAATATATACACTGCCGGAACAAAGTATTGGCACAGCAAATTTTTCACAATATATGCAACAATTTTTACTCTAATACTTTTCCGCCAATTTTGTATAAAAATATGGTTCGTTCAACAACATAAAACATAAAAATATAATTCCTAAACTTTGTGCAAAACTCGCAAAAATTCAGCAGCGAACTTTTTAATAAAAATCGAATCCCGCTGATATGGTATGGAGTTTTGCTTTGCTTAAAACAGGCAAATGTTTTATTCAAAGGTTTGCGTAACACCTGAAGAAAATTGCTATAAGACGTTTTTTCCTCTCCTTTAAAATTTTTAATTTGGGGACTTAGCAACTTTTCTCTCCATGCTATATACTATGTCATATATGAATGTAAATTTGTATCTACTTATAAAAAATTAATTTAATTTTTACGATTTTTTTTGGAGGCACTACTTTTCAACCACAAAAAAGAAAAAAAAAAACGTGGCATCTGGAAAGTTTTCCCATTGCCAGCCATTTAAAAAAAAAGTTTCATCATATTTAAGTCCCGAAAAGCTGAGGCTTTTCTTGAATACCTGGTCCTCTCTCGCCTTTTCTATACAAGAAAAAAAGGTTTACTTGTGCAAATTTGGTTTTCAAAAACTCTCTGGGCTGGCTTAATATTTTCAGCATGAAATAAAGTAAGTACGAAGTGAAATTTCTGTCAAGATGACGGAATAAAATTTCATAAAAGAGTCCTCTCAACTCCAAGCTGACTTTGCAAATCCTCCTTTAATACTAAACACTTTTCTTAATTTGCTTCATTCGATAAGCGATGATCTAACGATGATTGCAAATGGTACACGCATTCCTAAATGCGAAATTAAAGAAAATTTTCGTATAATCACTTCTTGTTCTCCATAAATGTTGCACATTTATCTATGAAAATATGCCTGAATGAGTAATGCGAATGCAAATTTTATTCGAACAAATTCACAATCACTAGACCGAGACTGCCTGAATTATCCCCGCCAACAATTAATAATGTGTGTAATTGACAAATGAATTTTGAATTCGTGCCAGCCTCTTACTTTCACAAAAATTTAAAAGTATTTAAATAATTTTTGTTGCTAAGCAGCTCTAAATTCGCGAAAGTATATGGAATATCAAGTATTTGTTAAGGCAATAAGGTTTTATTACTTTCACACAAAAATTAAAAACTGGTTCGATTTTTTGACAAATAAGTACTGCGGCGAGCTGTTAAAAGCTGAATATTATTAAACAATCAAAATTAATAAATAAAAAATTCTGCGGCTTGATACACCTTCGTTCCGGTTATGTTTATTCACCTGTATCACCGTTAATTCAGCTCTATTAATAAATGCATTAAAATTTTTATGAACCAATTTTTTTTGGTACATTCGAGCTAATAAATGAGCACTTTTATTTTGTTTAACATATTCTTTGGCTTAATTTAAAATACAATTTTAAATTTTTGTATAAAGTTGAGCCGTTTATTTTTAAAATGGCATAAGTCATTCCATGCCGCTTGACTTCAGCGACCATTTATTTGTTGTATCTGAAAGTGTCTGTTATCCATTCAACCGCATCAGCCAAAGGTAATTTACAGGTGCATTCAGTTAAAAGTAAACAACGATTTAAGCTCAAGAGCTGGATATGACTAATGCCACTTTCAAAATAAATGGCTTATTTGTAACTATCTTTCATTTAAAGTCCAAAAGCGTGTTTTTTAATTTTTGCTTAAAGTGTGAATGGAAGTACGCCTTTTCCGCGAAATAAAGCATATACTTTTATAACTAAAATGATTGTGTGTTAAGAATTTCGGTTTTTATGACTTCTTTTAGGACATGGATTTTAAGTTTGATTAATAACATTTGAGGTACAGTGTTCTTAAACACTTTGATTGGGCATGCATATAGAATAGCGATAGTTTTATACTGTCGATATGTTGGAAGAAATTCCGCACGATTTTAGAAAGTACAAAATTTTGAAGATTTTTAAAGCTAAGAATGGAGCTTTAAAGAATTTTATAAACACAGACCTACGATGAAGTCGACTCTAAAGTTAGTAGCAGTATTTTGACAAAATTTTCAATGGGTTATCTTTCAAAAATAGCTGTAATCGAACCATAAATATGGATTTTCTTGAAATCTCGGCTACAGAGTCATCTAATGGATTTATTTTTGGTAACTGTATTAATTAATTTAATTTAAATCGTACATTAAATAAGAAATTTCTGAATAACTCGACTCTATCGCCACTTAGCCAATTAATTTTTCGTAAAACTAATTTTTCCTTGCACCCCCATTATAAGTTTCTAATTTCATCAAAATCAGGCCAAAAATAGAGACTTTCTGAATATATCGACTCATGCGCCACCTGGCGGATTAAAATATTTCCTATGTCCGTGCTATAGATCTGAAAGTAGAAAAGAAAGATATTTAGGCATAGTTTTTCTGTAAAATGTTAACGTTAGGTCAGGCGAGGTTAACACAGACAAAACAGACCTTATACTCTTTAGAAGAGGACATAAGGTCCCAGTATGGAGAAGCATCGAGCTGACAATTAAATACCACACAAAGTTTTTGGGAGTAGTCTCGGATAGTAAGCTGCTGTTGCAGCGCAATGTTCAGGAAAGAATGAAAAAGGACAGTAACGAACTATATGCATGCAATAAAAGTATGGGGGTCACCTGAGGGACCAACTCTGAAGTACCACCTTTCCTATAAAAAAAAGAATTATTGAAATCGGTTAAAGTGGTCTAAAGTTATGCGGTAACATACATAGAAAAAAATATATTTCGACGAATTGAAAAAAAATTTTTTTATTATAAATAGGAAAAAAATACTATTCTCGGATCTCTCGAACGATGTACATTTATCTCTATTTCGAACTGCTCAAGTGCTTTCTGTCAAAAGGGCTTTTCACTAGGAAATTTGGCAAGGCAATTTGTTTATGTAAGACTTTTATGCCAGAATTAATAAAATCTTTCAAACTATCTTGCCTGCTGTCTTCTAGGTATCTTACCTGCAACAACTGAAGGAACTTTGCAAAGAAGAGAGCCAAATTAAGAAGTTTTTTTTTTGTTAGGACTCAAGCAGATAAACGGTTGCACTGCCAAATAGGAAAAACCAGACACTAAACAATATGTTTCTATTAAGTATACATACATATGTATGTATGCATGTAGAGTGCGAAGTAGTCGATACTAATTAATAAATAAAATATTTTCGTACTCTCACTTAAAAAGCTCAGCTCAACCAAAATTGTATGACACACACATGCAAACATATTAATATAGTCATTTGTCTATTTGTAAGTAGTTCAGTGAATAGCTAATTAATGGCAACGCGAAACGGTGAGCGCATGCATTCAAACACCTTCTAATACTCGCACTTATAAATAATTTAAGTCAAGTAATGCATAATTCAGCTCCCAAGTGTTCACTTGCGCTGTTCGAACGTCGTTTTGGCCAAACTTCGAACGCGTTGGCTGCAATTCCAATGAAACAAAGCATTTTTTTTTGTTTACTACAATCGAAGAGTACCTAAATTCAGCTGCTGTAATTCGCTGAGACAGACACTCTTCTTACCAGCCAGTCGTCAGTTGCCTTGAGTTGATTTTCCACTGTGTGTTTACTTGTTTTCATGTCTTTTGCAGTATCGGCGCTCCGCAATCAGATTGGTATGATGGTTGGTGGCTCTGGCTTGCTGCTGGTTGTTGGTCTCATTGCCAATCAAGCTGATTGTCTTTTGCTAGTTGTTAACTTTACTCAGTAAACGTTTGTTACGGTGAGCGGTTGTGTTTGCGCTCGTGTCGATTTTTTGTGAACAAAATTTTTCTTGTCTATTTAACTAATTTTAAGTTGCTGATCGCGTTGAATGCTGTTTCACGGTTTATATATATATTTTTTTTTTGAGTGCTCGTCGTGTATGCTTACATATATGCTTGTAAATATATTTTTTAGCTCAGCTTGAGCGACAAGCGGCTAATAAGCGAATTGCATAAATTTTATTGAAAGTGTTTGAAATATGAAATTATCTTACATAAACGGAATTACTTTTAATAAATAAAATAATTGCTTCAATACTACATAAATTTGTGTTTTTAAAAAAGTTGCGAAATATTTTCAGCCTTTGGTATTTGGAAATACCCAGTGACGGTTTGGTAATTGTTGGATAAAAAAAAAGTACTGCAAACTTCAAATATACCCATGCAGCAGTGGTTGTCACTATCACTTTAATTAAAGAGTGAATTGGATACGCCTTTACTGCTGCATAACTTTACAAAGAGTAGTTGACAACTGCAACGGTTTTGACACAATAACATTAAAAGAGTTGCTGAAGACAAGCAGAAGACGCAGCGCCCAATTGCAGCTTCCGGCATCAGCGGTTGCACTTGCAGTGAACAAATCATCAAAAAGAGGTTTGTGTGTGTTTTGATTAAAAATTGTATTTTAGTTTTTAATGCTAATCCCTTATATAAGTAAGTTTATGCTGCTTCGTTCAAAGCGACATAAATATTAGGAAAGTGCAGCAATAGTTAGTTCACAATCAGCTATGTAGAACAGAAAAAATTTTTGAATTATTAGAAGAAGTGGTTAGTCGGTTAGGCTCTCTGTCGGCACCTGACTGCAAATCATGAATAAAATTTATTTGTGTTTTGATTCCTGGACCAAATAAAAAATTAAATTTATTCCTGATTTGATTCGTCGGACAAATATAAAACAATTTTTTTTGGTGATTTGTAGAGCAAAACAAATTTTCTTGAGATTTTCTAACTTTAAAATACTTTTTTATGTAAGGCAAGCGCGATTTTCGATATTTTTTTTCAATAAAAACCAAATTACAAATAAAATTTATTTTTCGTTTGTCCGAAGAATCAAATCACCAACAAACTTATTTGGCCCATACAAAGATACTTATTTTTTGGTTTGGTAGAGGACTCAAATAAGAAATATTTGTGTTTTTATTTTTTCAGTGAATCAAACCACAAGAAAAAAATGATTTGTTATTTGGTCGATAAACGAAATCACAAGGATTTTTACAACCGGTTTTACGAAAGAATTAAAGTGAAAAAAGATTTTTTTCTGTCAGGCTCCATATCTATTAAATTCAAATAATTCTTCATTTAGATTGTTTTCATGAAACTGGCCTTTAATCACACAGTCCTTTGCTGTGAAATTTTGTTATTTATATAACGGCAGAAGATCGACCTATCTCCGCAATTGGTTTCAAAACGCCTTATCTCAGAAAATATTTCACGAACGCCCTATTTCAAAAGAAGAGGACAGACATGCCACTAACTTCCTGCAAGCTCTCACCTAGGTAATATTTACCTAAAGAAACAGGACAACCAAACTTTTGTATGGGAAATGAGAAAACTAAGAGCTAGTTATTCTCATTCTCAGTAGAGGGAAAAGCCTAATGGTTATTGGGTGACTTATAGAACTTATCTTGATACGCCTCGGTTTTCACCACAATAACTTCTGCGAAATCCTGTACGACGAAGGAGAGCTTGAAACAATCAGATATTTCTTCTGTGATTACCCAGTACTCTGCAACCAAAGACAAACATTTCTACTTTGAAAATTTCTAAGTGTTTGAAACACAGCTGTAGAGTTTAAAATACAGTTTGTGGACTCGACCAAATGGTCGAAAAAGGAGTCACGGCATCAAAATGCGAACTTAGTCGGTCCAAGGTGTGCTGGAATGCCTCTAAGCCACTTACACCTAACTAAACTAGCATAAGAGGTTGCCAAACGATATGATGATATTTTTGTAGATAATCTTTCGACCATCTGTACCGATGTCTTCCAGCATATCAACAATGTTGCTTGTAGCATTTGCCGAGATGAGCTCTCAGTAAATAGCTTTTGTAATAGTGGTTAATTGACTCTTCCTTATCCTCATCATGGCTGCCTCTGCAGAGAGTACTCGTTGGTATACGTCACCGTTGGAGCATTGATGCTATAGCACAGTATCCTGTGATGAGGCCGGCAAGGACTCTTACTGCAGATCGATTGAGTTTCAGTCTCTTGTCCCTTGTCTTTTTCCTACTCAGCCGCGGCCATAATAATCTTGTGATCTCACAGTCTTCCCGTTTGTTTCACAAGTCATTCGTCATGGCCACGGTGTACTCATTAATTTTCCTAGCGATATATCCACTTCTTTTATTGCCATCTCTGAGCTGCATCTAGCCATCTCATCAGCCGACTCATTCCCTTCAATATTGCCATGTCCGGGCACCCCCAGCATAGAGTGACGTTGATATGGCTCAGTGACGCCAGCATGGTGCGACATCTCCATACAGTTCCTAATTTCACTATTCTAGATCCTATTGCCTTCAGAGCTGCCTGACTGTCGACAAAAATAGTGGCTTTGTCTTCTGGAACTCTACTACTAAGTAGAAGGCTAGCCGCCCCTGCTGAAAGGTAAATAAAAGGTCTGTGTATATTTTTAGCGCATTTTTTGCATTGGAGTTTGCTTAGGAAAAAGCAAGAGTACTGAGGCATAAGTACCTATCGGACTCAAAACATTGGGGAAAAGTATGTATAGAGATGATAAGGATGGAAAGAAAAGTGGGTAGGTAATATGTAAAATGTGTACTCTTTTTTCCTAATCCAGGCAGTGGACCCGCCGGCGGTAGCGGAAAAATACAAGGTCTTTTAGACAGCCTAGCTATCACAGTAGAAACTTACCTGCTATCCGTGCCACCTCCGCTCTTTTATCTAGTCTTCTGTACTGAGTATTGCAAAAATCTCCGACTGGAAAACCGTTTACATACCAGCATGTAGATATATGTTTATGTATGCGTTTTTGTACAACATCACTTTGTATGTGACTGTGTTTTTTGCATGATTTTTAATGCATTTTTCGTTTTTTCCCCACATAAAAGTTATTTGATTCGTTTTTAATGCTCTTACAATAAGGCCATAGTGCAACGCATACCCAACACCTCATTAGGTAGCCACAATACCAGGCGAGCGTAGCGTATGAATCGAACTGCGGACGAAATACGCTAGAAAAAAAGCAGTAAAATCGCGATTCAATAGATCTTTTCACTTTGGATATAAAAATAGAATTCAAGAATTTCAGGGCTAAGAGCTGCGTTTACAAGCCATAATAACAAAAAATTTTAGTAATTCTCCTAGATCGGATATCCTTTTTCTCGGGCCAAATATGGGAGTATTTACGTAAAAAGCTTCTGATTCGAAAATTACTGAGACTTTTTTTATTTAGCCAGGGGAAATGAATCATCAATATGGGATGCAACTAACCGGGTTTTACTGTCTCAACCTCAAACATTCACATATAAAAAGCCAATAGCTACACATGTGCGCCTTTGTGACTACACAATTGAGGGCACTATGGCTCTGTGCCTTAACTATCTTTATTGCCATTTTACTGCCGTTGAACTGCATTTGCTGGCTGGCGGCTGGAAATTGGAGCGTCGCGTATGATTTGGTGTGCTATGTATATATGTGTGCTACCTACATATGTATGTATGTATGTATGTATGCCGTAGGCAGGGTTGCCACTGACGAAAAAAAATATTTACCATCCACTTGAAAAAAATCTACCAAATCTGGGAAATATCTACCAATAACTTTTTTATAATTATTTTATCAAAAACCATAGTTTTGTTATTTTTTTATTTATTTTAATTAAAACTATAGTTTTTTTATTTTTTTTTTAGTTATTTCAATAAGAATAAAAATTGTTTTTAAGAACTTTTTATTTAACTAGTTATACGGTATTTGAGTCATATTATTGGCATATTCTCAGTTTCCTTTAACCAAAAGCGGGAGTGATGAAACTAAAGGCAACAATGAAACTTCATTATTTGAAAAACTTCAACTCGAGTTATTATAGACAAAAACTGGGACCCAAAAAAGTGATTTTTTTTTTAATATTCGCAATATTTTTCGAGTAAAATTTTTTTTATTGCTTTAACTAAATCCAAAAAATCGAGAATTCAAACTATATACAACATATAGATAAATTCCAAAAATTTTCGTCAAAATTTCGAATTTTTTACTCTGACATTTTAGAACAATTTAAGGTATGGAGTTTTAAAGCAAATACTATTTAAGTATAGCCAACAATCTGTTGCTAAAATTGCCGTTGATTTTTTTTTATTTTATTTTTTTTTCATTAATAAAAAATGGCGTTGATTTATTTTTTTGCGAACAATCATAGTGCGTAATTACATACCTGTAAATTTTTTCTTTATATTTAAATAATCATTAAAATATTTAGGCAATTAAAAGCTCCTCAGGATTCCAGTAAAATTAGTTTTGAATGGAGCGCGATATGTTCGCCTTATATCGATATACATTTATACGTATGTAGTTATATAAAAAGTATGCAAAGAGATTTACAATATATTTTAAGATAACTACGAAATAAATCGGGAACGGAAAGTTCATCATAAATTTACCAAAATGAGAAAAAATTTACCTTTTTACCAACCCAAATTTTATCTACCAAATTTGGTAACAATTTACCAAAGTGGCAACCCTGGCCGTAGGTACACTTGAAATGACTGGCAAAGAAAAAAGTTATGTAATATTGTAAATCGGCGCTCAACTGCGGTTGGCTGCGGCTGCGCGCATTTGCCGGCATACAAAAATTACAGCATTTATTGTTACATTATTTGCTGGCTGTTTTTTTTTTTTCGTTCCTTTTATTGTCTATGCTACAAGTATTTTGCTGAAATATGCTTATAGACGCTGGGAGCAAATATCTTATTGTTATTCTCAACTTTTTTGTTTCCATTTATATTCACAACAAAATTAACGGAAACGAAACTGAAAGTTAATGGTTGCACTTTGTAATAATTTCTTGCGAAGTCATTTTGGCAAAATTCATAGAAATTTCGTCAACTTAAATAAACATTGGGAGATAAATAATGGATATCACCTTGGTTGGGAGATAAGTACGTATGTATATATATACTGTTTTTTTTTTAAGATTTGGAAGTCATTATTTTACTTGCCTAGCGAATACATTACATTGGCAGTAGTACCAGTACATATATGTAGACTTAAATTGGAAAAAAAATTTTTATTTACAAAATGCAAAATTAAAAAAAAATAACAATTATTTTTGATTTTTATATTATATGTCTTACTTACTTTTTAGAATTTTATTTTGGAAGCCAATTTTTTCGGGGTTTTTAATATAACCAGCGAAATTTACAAAAACTTCCGTTGATATTTTGAAATTTGGTTGCTGACGTTCCCCCGCGTTTTAATTCATAAGAAATTCATACTTGTATGAAAAAAGTGCAAAAATGCGTCACCGATAAAATTTTCTAAAAAGTGGAAATTTTGATGAAAATTTCTTGAATTTTCCTAAATTTTTTATAAAGTTTGAAATTGTGATTTAGACGGTTTTGGTTAAAGCTTAGACGATATTTTT